ATATTAGATTCACATATTTCGTGTACAATAGAAAATTTAGAGCCACCAAACAAAGATTGGCTAAATGGACTTAAAAATCAAAAAATTGGTCTGAACAAGGAAGTTAATATTTTTGTAAAGAATAATTCAATTTATCCTAGCGCCTCTTGTCAATATGAGTATCCGTACAAAAAAGATGGGGGAATGGACAGATAATCGCAATTATTGTCATAACATTTTTCATAACAAATCTTATGTGGCCTTAAATGTAATTGATTAGTACTGCCTACTTGGCTCCACAGTCAATTGGCTGGCATCTGGGACCTTTGCATTGGACAAATAGTCTTCTCCGGGCTGCAGGCAGCAAGCTTGTACACAGGAGCCCCTTTCTTCTGGTTGATCGTCCGGATGCACGAAGAGACCCTCGTCCACGAGCCGGGTAGTCAGGCCCGTTGACGTCGGTATGATTGACGGCTTGGTCTGGGAAGAATAGGGTTCTCCAGTCAAGCTGTAGCTAGATTTCAGTCGGGCCAATGAGGCAGACAAGTGAGGATAGTTGGGTAGCATAGTAGAGGAGAAGGAAGAGTAGAAGGGAGAAGAGGACGACGAAAGGGAGGCGAGTGAAGATGAGCAGGTGCGCGGTGGTGAGATAAAGGCCGTCGGTACGAACCCCGTTCCAGTGCTATTCTGGCACTGGCCTGTGTAGGCCAATGGTGAGGATGGGCTCGTGATAGACTCTGAATTGGTCTGGGCGAACTTCCAGGCGCTGAGGGGGCAAGTGTCGCCGGTGCAGGTACCGGCAGAGGCTGCGAGTTTGGCGTCATGAACTTGCCCGGAACCGGCATAAGCTGAGTAGTGGCCGTAATAGTTTGCGTAAAATTCTTCTTCTGGGCCCGGCGGAAAATGTGAGGCCAGAGGACTCATCACGGCACCGGCCAAAGAAGCACTGGCAATAGGTACAGTTGAGACAGCCTGATCCAGGCCCAAGTGTGCTGCAGCGGTCCAAGCGGAGTAGTTGCAGGCAGACGCGTAAGAGTGGGTCTGAAGGCCGGCCGGACAGGAGGCCGGAAGAGTGGAGGGACAGCGGGGAAATGCAGCCAGACAGTCTGAGGGCAGAGGAGCAATGGTAGTCGCTACGCTTTGGTGGAAGGCACTTGAACCTCTTGGGGCTATGGAACCGACCAAACTGGCCGGCAAAGCTGGAGCCGCGGCCGACGAGGTCGGCAAGAGGCTGGCCGAG